AGATAGGCCCGAGTTTTGCCATGTTAAAGCCAATCAGAGCCGTTGCTTGGTTTCTATAATCCCCCTTAATTGTTTTTGGGGTTGTCTTCAAAAATGGGCCAAAACTACGTACATATATAAAACCAATTGACGCAAATGCGAGGGAAGAAAACTATTTCTGATAATCCGGTGGTAAAAAATACAGCCTTAAATGTCAAACATTGAGTTGAATCTTAAGACAAAATAGAACCTTTAGAAGATGCCGATAGGTGACAAATGTGCCTCATCAAATGTCGAAGCTACCCCGGGTAGGCGCACCTTTGGTACGAGTTTTTTATTAAGTATTTTATATATTTCAAGTTTTAATTCAGACTTTATTGATTACATAATCCACGTGTTTCATTACAACTAAAAAGAATCAAGTAATGACTTATAAAAGTGACAATAGAAATGACTATCCTCATTTCTGCCAGATTTTCCTGTTGGTGTAGAATGTAAAACCACATTGTTTGAATTTCTCCTCGGCATCTGCCCTACCATTGGTGTACTCATTCGGCACAGAGTACAGGGCTTCGGTCTTTGTGGCACTCTACTGTTATTTCCGGTATGAAGTATATTAAATCCCGCAGACCGAATTTGATCAATATGTCTTTTTAATAACTTTTCTCCGTATTCTATTTGGTAATGCAGGTCTCCTATACGAGAGATGACGACACCCAACAACCACTTGCTCATTCTGGGGTTTCCGGACAAGAAATAAATACGATCGTTTTCCCGAAATGTACGGAAATTGCGACTGTAATTCATACATTGTTTTTGTGTTACTTTTTCTTTGGTATCATCGGGACGAAGTAAATCAAAGCGGGAACGTAGCATTCGGCCGAAAAATAGCATTGAGGGCGGTTGTCCCGTTGTAGCATGGGACGCATTTCTATATTGCTGCAGGAATTTATTCAGGTTGACTTGTATTGTTGCTTTCGTTGTTTCCATCGCCTTTATCGCATTTTTTATTGTTTGTACACACCTTTCAACCTGGCCGTTGGTCGCTGGAGCAGGCTGTTTATGGTATACAACGCCACTATTTTGCAGAAATTGTCTAAATTCTTCCGATAAAAAGTTCGTCGCATTGTCCGACACCACTGTATTGGGAACACCATATGTAGAAAATATTTCATCCAGTATTGAAATTGTTGCAGAAGACGTAGATGTTGAAGTCATTTTGACTTCCATACATTTACTAAATGCATCCGTTACAACTAATAACATAGAATCCAGGAATGGTCCAGCGTAATCAATATGAATCCGTTGCCATGGTCCACTTGGGTATTCCCAATGGTGCTCTCCGAATTTGGTTGGTTTGTTAGCTATCATGGCACACGCATTACATGCCTTCACAACCTTTTCGATATCTCTGTCATTAACGGCCAATAAACAAAGGATCGTGCCTTTCCTTTCATTTTCACTATACCCAGGTGTGCTGCATGGAGAGACGTTGGGAGTATCTCTCAGTACTGCCTCCATGCGTCTCTGCCAGATGGCTGGTATATTTGCGGCACTATAAACTGCCCTCCTTAGCCTAATTAATCCATGAGTAGTAGTGTTCAACGTCAACACAAGTGCAAATTCGTCATATAATTGTAGGTGTGAATAGACGTCAGTTACATCTAAGTGGCAAAAAATCGTTAACCCTCTCATCTTATGCAAAATCTTCAATTTTTGGTATGGGATGCTCGTCAATAATAATTTGAGGGTTTACTGTAGGTTTATAATTTCCGGTTGTCCGTATTCCTCCTCCTTTCTTTATTACAACATGTGTTGTTTATGCCCACTCTGAGTATTCCACTCGTTCATACAATCCAGATGCAATATTTGAATCAATTTCCTGCATCTGGTTTCAAATGAACTTTTGCTGGTGGTCCTATTAACTTTCCTGCAACGTCAGAAAACACACCGTCGAATTTGTCAAGTAATTGACAAGAGAAGAGCTTGCTCATTGTGTGGTAATTCTGGTGTCGCTGTAGTGATACTATTGACCTTACTTGAAGATTTGAAAAGTTGTACAAAATTTATTTGGTCCACAAACTGCTCGATCCACTCTCTTCCCATTAGTGTGTCAACCTTGCCATTTACCCCGTATAAATTCAATCAACAAACCTTGCTTCCAAACTCAACGGTGACAGGCAGACGATCTATACAATTGATTTGATGGCCAGAGTAGCTAGTAAATTGTCTTTTTGTTGGCAGAAGTTTAAAACGGTCCTTGATTAAATGCATATTACTGTTGCTGATTATAGAACAAGGCGACCCTGTATCCAATTCCATCCTCACAAACTTGCCTTCTATAGAAGTTGTCACAAATTTTCTTCCACTAGTTTTAAAATAATTTACCAGCTCTACTTTATTCTAATTTTCTGTACCGTCGGCAGGAGTTTCATCATCCAATTCCACTAGCTGGAATGTTTTGCTTCTGCACATCTTGGAAATGTGACCTACTTTGCCACATCGGAAACATTTAGCTTGCCTGAATTTACATATGCTTCGGGGGTGCATTCCGCCACATCCATGACACGCAGTCTGTACTTCAGCGTCCCTCGAAACCATGCGCCCTTTCTGCCTAGAATATTTCGTTGATGCTTGCATTTTGTGGACATCTTCCACCTTTGCCGGCTCTAACTTCGCAATTTCTGTTGCAGTACAATGTGTCAACTCCATAGTTTGTGCAATCTCGTACGCACTATTAAACGTTTCTGGCTTACTATTTATAATTCCATCGCATATGTTGCGTTCCTTCATTCCATGCAGAAACTGCTCTATTAACATGCGATCTAAAAATTCTGCATAGTCGCAGTGGACTGCGCCCTGTTTTAAACGCAACGCAAAACTTGCAATTGACTCCTCCTCTTGCTAAACTATTTTTCGAAACTTAATCCTCTTAGCATATTTATTTCTCTTGCTGTCGAAATGATTTATGAGTAATACCTTTATTTCACCGAACTTTAAGGATTCTGGGCTTTTTGGACTAACCAAAATCTTCAACGCGTTGTTTAACTCACATCCCAGGTGGACTCTGGCATAATTTGGGTACTCGGTTTCATTTATCTTACTTAATTTCAGTGCCCATTGAAATCTCTCGAAGAAATCTTTTAAAGAAGAGTTCTGCTCCGATCTATATTCCGGCATCGAAAATGTTGGGCCTCTCGGTGGAACTTCTGTTGGCGCAGCAGCATTTGCAACAGCAACTTGTGTTGCCTCAACCACCGCTTTCCGTATTGCTTCAGCCAGTGAAGCCGATAATGCTTCCATATCACCTCCTGTAGCCATCCTTTTTGTTTTTTTCAGACTCACTTCTGACACCAATTTTATATTTCAAGTTTTAATTCAGACTTTATTGATTTCATAATCCACGTGTTTCATTACAACTAAAAAGAATCAAGTAATGAGGTTGCCGAAGGTTATAAAATAAGAATTTTAATACTGATTATAATTAGGATTGCATATGCAACAGTATTGGATATAACCAATCACAAAATGTTTATATCTGTTGAATAAATATTGAGATATAAACACAAATGCCAAAGCTGACCCTGTTTCCCCTACACCATCAACAATTTTGATCAGTTAACGGAAGAAGTTTCATGTGGCAACCAAAAATGAAAGTGAATCGGTTGCAGGTCTTGCACTTGAGCACCAACGACTCTGGTGCTATAGTCGTTGGTGCTCAAGTGCAAGTTTGGCACACATATGGAGGCCTTTGTTTTAAATCAATTTTGATTGGCTTGCCAAATTTAATTTTTCGTTCTTTTAACTTTGAATTTCCTGCGGTGACTATGCCCAAAAATTGATGAGATATTCCATAAGGACTGTGCTGTGCGATGCATTGAAGCCAATGGTTAATGACATTATTGGACCATACCAATGCGGCTTCAGACCTGGTTTGTCATTTTGTTATATTTTTTCCGTTTAGGGTGGAAGTTGTCCCAGTATACTTAAGATTTTTGGCGGCCTGCTCTATTGTAAAGTCCTCCCAACATTTTTCATATGTTACGAATCTCCCCAGTCTCCCTGGGTTTTTGGATGTTGTCCTTTCTTTGAATGACTTTACCATTGCTTCCGTTAGGTTATTGGCATTCCTGTCTATATCATCGGTTTTAAGGCATTCATAGTTTGACCAGTCTCCAGAATTTTATCCAATTAGTCTTGGGCTTATTTCTTAAGTATAAGGGTAAGATTTTAACCCAAATACATGTATGGTCAGAGAAGGAGTACTCTTGTGAGACTCTTTAATCTTGGATCTCATCTATTAGGTTCGCAGAACATAATTTTTATATCTAATACCGCCCGTCTAATTCTGTTAATAATGATTGGTTTGTTGTCTATGTTAATAACTCTCAGCTTAATATTGTATATCTCGGGTCGAGATTTTTCTTCCCCTCTGGTTCTTAAATTCATACCAAGACACCCAAATATATATATATAGGAGATGTTTGCTCACGACCGCTGGATGACGACGGTAGGTGACTCGTTGGCAGATCAACGACAACCCACTGTGCTGATTTATTTAGGCTCTGCGCCCGAACTTCGTACCTTCCAGGTTTTGTATTAGCGGAACACACCCGTAGTCAGTTTTGGTCCGCGGGGAAGAGGCCCTAAAGGCGGGTGATCAAACTATGCTATTACCGTCAGAACTGACTGATTTTAATAGATTAGTTGATTAACCACCTTCCTCCCGCCACCTGGGGATGCGACGGGTAGGAGACTCACAAACTCCATTAGTAACGTAAAATATTCAGTTTAAAATTAAAATTACTTCATTTAAAATTCAAATTATTCCATTTAAAATAAAATTATTACATTTTTAATTCAACAAACAGAAACTGTTGCTGTCAGGACTAATAACCTAAAACATTTGAAAGGAAAATAAGTAGTTTCAATTAAAAAAAAATGGAAAATTTTTAATCATATTTCTAATTTTGTTTGTTGTGTGCCATTTATATGTGTGATGGTAAATGATAAATACTTACCTCCAACTCGGAGAGCAAATCTTTTTTTTCTGCTTCTGTAGCATTTTCTTTTAATGTTTTAACGGCAACCGTCGTAATCCCGCAAGTACCTAGACAACACGAAAAGAAAAATCAATTATATATTTTGTTTCAAAAACAGAAAACTAAATAAAATTGTATGAATAAAACTATTAATTTTCATAAACCAAATTGCCACAAAAGGAATTATACCGTAGAAACTGTTAAATTGTACGTCGTAAATCTACATCCATCCTTCTGTAATTGGCGTTTGGAACTTTAGTTATTTGCGTATACATGAGTACACACTTTCGAATCACCTCCATATAACGACCGCACTTCTCAGCCAAATTTCAAGTTATAAGCTCTATCCGTTCACATGCTCCTACTACACTTTAGTATTTTTCGGATACTTATGCTTCGAATTTTCAAAAAAAAAACCTTTGGTACATCTATCCGACACTCCATCTGTGACCCTCATTCCAAATACAAATGGTACTATATTTAGTATTTTTAGTGATGTTCTAGCACGAATTTCCAAACACCCAGCCTTATCTGAGTTACCCTCACCCCAAATTTCTAGCTTCAGCCGTTTCTTTGGGCGTTTTACTACTTTGTTAATATACACTATGGCCTCCATACATAAGGTAGAGTTTATATTAAAATTGGCATTCTGATTGAAACACCTCGAATCGAAATGTGTATGGTCGAAAATGTGGATAATTATTAGTTACTTTGTTGTACTATAATTGTGTTGTAATTTTAGTCATAAAACCTTTAAAAACGCATAACAATTATAAAAAATAAATACGGTTCTATAGTGCAGTTAAACTTTGAAGCAGTAGGAACAAAACGGAAATATTTGATCAACAAAATACGCACAAACAATTACACTAGATAAAACATGTCAATAATGCTTTGTTGACCGTTATATTCTGCAGCGCCTTAGCAACCTTATGTGTAGCGGAAGTAGTTTGTATTACGGGGTTTTGTTTTACATAGCCCCCTTTAAAGCCCCAAGCCCCATTTTCAGTACCGAATTCCTCCGCCGAAGTGCTTAAATTATTTGCCAAATTGTGCTTAAATTATTTGCCAAATGAGCCACTTCACGTGTGATTTATCAAATACACAACAGGAATAACAAAAATGAACGAAGTTGGCCATAACGTCTCTCAAATTCTCTGCCAAATACATTTATGTCTTCTGCTAGTTTGATAATCTTGCTTTATTATTTCTAATTAAAACATACGTCAATTTTTTATGTTATTGGACATTTAACATGTAATTGGTTTTGATTTTCCTGTATTTTATTGAACAAATTGACCAGTAAATTTGATTATTTTTTTGTAAGAATATTGGTGTTATACCCATTAAAATATCCTCTGGCACTGCTTGGCACTAGGTTCTGAAAGCTAAAATTTTCGAGAAATCATATTTAAGAGATTTATATACAACATTTGTGGTTAACTTCAAATTACACATAATTTTTACTTTCATTATAATCACCAGTTCCATCTGTTTAATTGGCCGATATTTCATGTTAATATTTTGACGCGTGTTAATGCTATATAACATTTTTATAATAGAAATTATATTTACAAAAAAATGAAATGTTGATTACGCCCTCTTGTCATTTGTAAACCGTAACGCAAAATGTTACTGGTGTAAATCTCAAATTGTACAGATTTGAAATATATAAAATTGTTTTGCCAAAAAAAATCTTAATTTTTTCCGGAATGTTTCTGAATATACGAAACAATTTTCTGTTACAAAACAATTGTTTATCTGTGTATATGAAGAACATATGGACATTTGTTTTCAATATTTTCAGAAAGGAAGAGTATCAGCTACAATGTTAGTAACACCTCTCCCAGGAATGTATGTAGGAATATAGCATTTGTTTTTGTATCTCATTCCAATTTTCACAAACATACACAAATTTGACAACAATCAATTGATTTTCGGCATCGTTGCCATATTGAAATTGTTTAATTCTGTATATCACGAACTCCATGTCACGCACTGTTACAGCGTGCGAAATATAATCGTTTGTTTAGTTAAGAAAATTTTGTTTCCGAAATTTATTTTGCAATTTTTATTAAATAGTTTTACGCCTTTTACAATACCTGCTAATTTTTATATGAATATGTTTGTAAATTTCGGAGATATTAGGCAAAATGTAGCGTATGCACGCATTACAAAATTTTCCCTTTAAAAATTGCATATCAGTTTCGATATGAAATGTCTGCGAATTGGCTGGAGATAAAATTGCGGATTTTTTACAGCTATAATGGGTTATTCAAGATTATATTTTCATTTTTTTTGAGAAAAACATTTCTAACATATACTTTTTAACTTTGAACATCGTCACGCATATGTTACACTGGTAACGCATCGTTACACACACATGTGCTAAAAAAATTAAATTGAAAACAGATTTTTTTAAAAATGCTAATTCTTATCCCCCACACAACCCCGTTGTCAGGGTATTATAGCTTTGTGTGGCCCCAAGACCTTTAGTAAATCATTATGCAGTTATGGACGAAATTAAATCCGGTTCTAAATCAACTTATTGAGGAAGAATATAACATGTGCGTGACGGATACAACATTTTTCGATGGAGATAGAAGACAAACTTATTTTTATTTGAGTTTTTCATCACAAAATAAACACATAACAGCATTATCAAAAAAATCAAATATTAGAGTCTGTATAGAAATATATGTTAATTTTGTCACGCACGCGTTGCATATTATCTTACACTATTTAACTGCACTTATCACGGGATTCTGTTGTTTATATATTTATATGTTTATATATGTAATTCTTAGTAAGATATTACTTTATTTGAATTAAATATTTATTATAGATATTGCCTTCATACGTACGACAAATGACACGCGAAAATGGGACCAAAGAAAAACTGGCGTTATTTTTCAAAATTCAACAAAAAATATATTGTCCGGATTACAAAAAAAATGTCCTATATAATTTCATATCTCTCTTAACGATTTGATTTTGCACCTATGTGGTTGACCTTTTTGTGGATTTCGTGATATATGTATTTAATTTTATTTTGTGCATTAACAGCACATAAAATTGAGGATAATGTACAAATTAATTTGAATTGACTCTGTTAATAAAAATTAAGGTTGCCGTCTGTCGAAGGCATTAGTGTGTTTCAACTATAAAACATCTTATACAATTTACATGATCTGTAATAATATAATTTGCCCAACAAAATCAAACTGAAAAAAATTTGACAGACTATAGTAAAGCTTTTGAAATGTTAAACCATGAACATTTACTATAGAAACAAAATGGGTGTGAAGATAAATTGGAAATTTTTATATAGTGATGAGTGCGAAAATAAATTGGATTTTTTAGATTTTATTATTTTGTTTTGTGTATTTAGCACATATATGTTAATAAAATAACAATTTATCTTCCAACATTGTTTAGACAAAATCTGAGACCTACGTAAACAAAATTCAACCGATAAAATGTCTTAAATAGTATCGATGAAAATTCTCAACGAGTACTCTAAGGCCATATACCACTTATATTTCAAAACCGTTTCAGAAAGCTAAATTGGAAGAAAATTTTGAAATTTGACATGTATTCAGTAAAGCATATCGTTAGCTAAAATGCAAAAAGGCGTAACTAACAAAAAATTAAAAATTGACTTTTTGAATGAATATTGTGAATGTCAATAAACTACATGTGTTGACATTCAAAAAGTCGATTTTCAATTTTTTGTTAGTTACGCTGTTCACGTAGCGAACATGGGTTTCGTATAATAAAGATAGTGAATTTCTTGCTGTGGGTCTCTTGTGTAGAAGAGAGAACATTTAGTTAAACAGGGATCTATTTTTGTATACAGTCCACTTAAGATAAGAGATTATTTTGGTTGAATATTTGTACACAATAATAAGATAGGAGTTTTCTATTGCCTCACCTATGTTTGGGTGAGATTACGGGGAGTAATCTTCACTACAGACTTATAAGCATGTGTAGCGTGCTTGCCACATGTGAGATAAAGAATTGTGTGTGTCCACTCCATGGGTTATGGCAGATGCACTCTCTCTCTCTCTCTCTTTTACACATTAGTCTAAGATAGGTTAAGTCATATTGTACAACTTAGTTCTTAAGAAACACTTTTTATATTAATAAATCAGTGTGTAAATGCACAGCAAACAAATACAGGCGTGCTCTCACTCCACGGACAATATCCGCGTAAGATCCCTAGTTTTTCATACGCCTTTTTGCATTTTAGCTAACGATATGTATTTTCCATATTGACTAAAATAACACTTTTGTCAAAAACCTAATGGTTTTGCGTGGGTTTCCGACATTTCTCACGTATGCATTATACGTCGGAAAAGTATGTCATTTACGTCACTGTTTCTTGCGGAAAATCTCGGCTAGCAAGCAAACGCGCATGCTTATCCGTCTGTAGTGTGGATTACACCCCGTAACATAATCCAAACATTCCCTCTCTCCCAACAACATTTAGGTTTGGTAAATTGTGTGTTTTGTTTCCTAAGGAACCAAAATTTCCACTGATCTGATATATTCGCCCATGTGCTGCATTTCGGGTCGAGAGTTAAACATGTTCCCATATTTAGTGTGCTTCATTTCGAATACCCAAAAAAAAAAAATATTGGGAAAAAGATGGAAAAAGAAATGAGATTATACGTGTTATTCTGAACACACACAAGTTAAAAAAGAATGCAGAAGTAATATTTTTATTACAATATTTAATTAAAAATCAAAGAATATAAAGAAAATAAAAAGTAAAGGTTAAAATTTTTGAGCTCGATATGGCAGACATGCAACAATACATTTTTTAAACGGGTATAGTTTTTTGAAACGTTTAATGGTAGCCTAGGACGTTTAAGATAATGATCAGAAATACTTACACAGATTCGGACATATCCGTTGTGTCCGATGCGTCCCTAATGCGACGTCGTTTGAGACATTCCAATATCATTAGCCTTCTTCTAAAACATATGTTTTTGTTGATAGTTATTGAACACAGTCTAAAAAAGTATGGGAATTCAAAAACTCTCGAAACATGTCACATGGGCGATTACCAGAGAATATTTGTGTGTGTGTTGTTATCATCAGTGTTACCGCTGGCAATTTTAAAAAAGTTGCACAAAAAGTCGTTCCCTTGAAAAAAGGTCGCAAAGAAAAGTAAATTTGTCAATAAAACTGGTCCGAGGATATGTCAGATACCCTTGGAACTCAAAAACGACGTAGTAAAGTCCAAATTAGTTTGAATTACCAAATAAAAGGGAAAATTCAACTTTAAAAATAACAAAGAAGAAAAGTCGCACAAAGCTTAAAAAGTTGCAAACACAGTTACAGGGCATCAAAAAGGTTGCAAATTGCGCCTTTAGTCGCACAACGGTGGTTATCATTTACATCGTAGGAATTACAATTTAGAGTCGAGACAAAAATTGGGCATAAAATCTGATCATAACGAAAAATAGTTGGATTCGTGGCTCCATAATATATAATCTATGTGTTTGTAGCTGGCATTTAATTGAATTCGGATTGCAAATTCTAGTAAATTCGTTTCCGCCGTGGAATAGTTATTGAGACTTGTTCCTTTATAAATAAACTCTAAAGTTTTAAAATATTCTTTTAATACATACCACCAATTTCCGCGGCTTCACAGCGCCAAACTTGACCAAAAGCTCCTTCGCCTAATATGTTAAAAAATTTAAGCTTATGTCTAGGAAATTCCCATTGTTCGTTTTTACTCGTACTGGATAATCCCAACGTGGTACAATCTGTCTGCGGATTTATGACAGTACTAACTCCTGATGTGTTAGGAATACCAGTGGTGCCAAGGCTTTCCTGTAAAACGTAAAAAATATTTTATTATAACAATGCACTATAGGTAATTTGGACAGTTTTTTAGGCAAAAAGTCAATTTTTCATTTTGAAAAATAATATCTTTTTTGATGGCATTAAAAAGAAATCATGCCAAAATTTATGATTTTTTGCGTAAAAGTGTCTTAAAAGCGATTCAAATCGTAGCCAAACTCTACACATTGAAAATAAAAATCAAGAAATAAAAAAATTTAAAAATAAACGTGCACTTAAAAACTTTAAAAATCGCTAAATACAAAGCATAAACATAAAAATTAAACATGGAGAGTATTGGCGGTGATGTGTGCTGTATATAATATTTGTTAATACGTTTGTGTAGCGATTCAAAATTTACATAGTTGACTATAATAAAAGAAATGAGTTTATTTTTTACACATAAGTCATTTTAGATAGACGTTTACTAAAATGTTTAAATTTGTCTGATCTTTTGACAACTAAAATAGGTCTCGAATTGCGATTTTTTGCATTTTTCGTGATATATAAATTTTTTGTAAAGAACTTCAGAATTAAAAACAATAAAATGTTCGATATTTGGTTTGATAAAAGAAAAAAAAACAAGGAATGATATTGTTGTTTACAACGTCCCCGCAAGTTAAGTCGGCAATAACACAAATATGGACGAAAAATACGTCAAGTTAAAATTAGGTTATTTTGCATGCATTGGTCAAGATGGACCGAATGACATAGGAAGATAGAAGTTTTCCTCGAAATAACGAATACACACAAATTTTGATTACAAAATAAATAACGTTTCTCGTAAACCGCAAATAGGTTGTCGAAAGAAAGATTATTCGTTAATTAATTAATGATTAATTACCAAATGTTGTTTTTGTAGTCAACATTTGGAATTAATAATGTAAATAGAAACTGAAAAATTAAACAACAACTACTGCATATAATTTTCTAGATTCTTCCGTTTGTCTATTTTGTTATTGATGTGCATTCTCTATTCCAGACTCTCGCCTGTATAGTTGTTGTTGTTTGCTCAATATTAGTTTGTGTGTGCATGTTGCAGTAGTAAATTCTAAGTAACCGAGATGTTACTAGATCGTCGAGAAACCTCTATGGTGAGAGGGGACGAGCAAAGTCTACACGGTATTTTTTATTGAGACTTATATATTAATTTAAAACTTAAAACTAATGAAACGAGTGGTATGGTACAAACAAATATAAAGAATTTTGTAGAGTAATAGCAATATAAATGTAAATAAGTTGGAAAATAACAAACAGTCAACGCTTCAGACCTAAAGAATTCGACGAGTTTGGGATATAACGAATGAGGGCATTTGCATTTTTACACATAAATAATAAGTAAACATGTTACTTTGATTTTGTACTTATTATAGATGCTGTTAATAATAGTAGGATATAGTGAGATTCAATTCAAACACATAAATTTTATCTGTCACTTACCACATTAGTTTTAATAGTAAATAAAACACTTGGTTTTAGTAATAAAGAAAATGTTATGTAACAATAAAAAAATTAATGAATTATAAATAAATGCTGTATTAGAAGTTTAAACAAACGACATACATACTTATAAATATGTAGGTAAGCTCGATTGTTTGTGTGTGTTAAACGGAAAATATATTAACATTCGTTCTTTTTTTTCGTTCCCACGCCTCTCTCACCCCCCCCCTGCCACCCCTAGAAGCCACTCCCGCGCGTATGTACCACTGTCCGCACCATGGCGGACAGTGGGAATCTAATCAATTTTAATCTGTCGGTATACGAATTGTCAGTATAAAATTGTTCTAACAAGAGTTGTATAAAGTTGTTTTGTAAAATATGGATCAGAAAATTATGTAGCCCAACGCTTAATAAAACATAAGTCGCCATTAGCCCTATTATCAATAGCAATTACATGGTTATGGAAATTTAGTTTTGGATCGATTAGAACACCAAGGTCAACATATGAGTCAACTGTTGTTAGTAATGTTCCACTATGAGAAAATTGTATATTCATCGGAGCATTTCTATAAAATCACATATGTTTACTTTTTTAATTTTGGTCTATGTTATTATAGGAACAGCAATTTGAGAAAGAGTCTAAGCCATATTGAAGTAAAGTTGGCAAACATTCAGATCTATGTGAGAAGAAATTTTTTACGTCATCAGCGTACATTAGTATTTTTGAGTTTTTAATTAAATATGGCAGATTATTAATAAATATTAAAAACAGGACAGGACCAAGATGACTACCTTGAGGAAATCCAGACGGAATAGAAATATGGGTCCGTAAAACGTTTTGAGACAAACCAACCTGAGATCGATTCTGTAAGACGGATAAAATCCAACTTAAAATATTTGTGCTAAAACCTATTCGAACAAGTTTATAAATCATAAGCTTGTGATTAACTCTATCAGGTGGGGAAAATGACCAAATTTGATTGAATAATCAAATAAAGTGTTTAATAAAATGGATAAGATATTTGAACATGATTTTTTCGTTTTATTTTAACGAAATTATAAAAGCATTTCGGAAGGTTTTGAGTCCAATTTGCACCTTTTCTAAATAGATCTGGATATAGAATAATTTGAGTAATCGATAGAATTCACATTTACGATAAAGTCTAAAGTTCTTTTATAGTTCTTGTGAAACAGAACCTGGTTATATCAGAAAAAGATTGATTATTTGAAATTTGAGAAGAATAATACATTGATATAGTCAATGTTGGATGATGATTATCTTCAGGACAAGATAAGGGAGAATTTCTACATATGTTAAATATTGGAGGATCTTTAACAAATACTAAATCTAATAATCTGTTTTTACAATTTAGAATATGATTGACCTGATAAAGGTTTGTTTCAGAAATTTTGCCACGATGTCAGAGATCCATTGATTTGAAATTGAAGAAGGAGTAAGCGGATTAAAATCGTCGGTGTCAGGTATAGATACCCATTTAACATAAGATAGATTGAAATCGCCTAAAACACAACAACGGTCGGTATTAGCCGTATTAGATGAGATTGAATTTATTGCCGCCAAATGACGTTCGTATAATATTACATCAGATATACACACAGCTACAAATCCAATATCATCGAAGTCATTTAGTATTAAGACATTTGCCAGAAACTTACTTTCTGTGAATGCTATAACACCAACCTCTATATCATAGTTCAATAAATAGACGTTATATCTTCGAATTCAAAATCTCGTACATTTTGATAACATATAGTAAGAAAATATAATATTGACAATATTAGCTTTGGCTCTGTAAACAAATTCATTAACTAGTATGCCGCTGGGCCAAGAATTTTTTTTACAATCATATCAGACATTTTAGAAGGTAAAACAATTTTAAATGACGAAATATCATGAGGAGTAGACGAATTAAACTTTAAAATTTTAATTTCACTATCGTGAACGTCATTTATCTTAGAATGCATGTGTCGCTGAATATTATCTTCAGTAGTGCTTTCATGTAATCTATATATATATATATATAGTTTTTATGAGCGACAACAATTTATTCGATAGTAATGAAGATACATAAGGATTTGTAATCATACATGTAGAAACATCTGGAGGTTTAGACACAGTTATAGAAGGTAAACTATGAGAACCCTTTTAGAAGACAAGATTCAATCGGAAGCTATTTTTAACTACGTTAACATTTTCGCTGCGATGTGAGGGTGAAAATTACGCCGGAAGCTTAATATGGGTTTCTTTTGAAGATTTGTTAGCGTTGTCACGGAACCACAATTGGTGTATATAAGCTAATTAAATTATCACCATTAGCGACATCTAGTGATTTTCTTCATTTTGGAGTTCCATCTACATAATCAAAGTTATTAAACATAATTTCAAAATCTTTAAAACGTGAATATATTGATTCGAAATCATAGGACCAATCTCTGCTTTCGATTCTTTAAAATTACAATAAAAATCAAATTCTAAAGGTCTACAAGCGATACATGTCCAGCGAAGTCCATTTTTACGATCAGTAAATAAATCGAAGTTTCTACCATTAAAACCTGCACATTTAAAATGAGCATGTTTTTCACACAACTAACACGTTATTAGCCTTTCTGTTAGGCGTCGACAAACACATACAATTGTATTTTGTCTGTATCTACCAACAGAATACATGCCGCATTATTTTGATTGTTGTAGAGGCCTTCTAATTCTCTTCGAAATATTTTCCAAGTAGCACAAAGTTTCTCAGGCAATGGATCATCCCAATCTAATGTAAGTTGCCACTGCTGTTGAATAAATATATTTACTTTCACAACAGTTGGTGTCAACAAGCCAAGAGAGTCAAACAGTCTAGCCAGATGTTAAGATGTAACTAAGCATTTTGATATTATTTGATGATGAATAATATTTGTTTCACGTGTAATCCCAATGTTTTCACTAACTGATGTTTGCGTCTAGATCCAAATTCACTTCTCTGTCACTATGTGGGTTGTCCTTCAGCAATCTTGACGTATTGGACAACCATTTCCCTTAGTTGAAGCTCTGTTGCATCAAAATGGTTATCAATTCCTTTTGGCGTTCGACAGATTTAAGCATTTGATAACGATGAATGTTTTTGGAATTTGCCAGTTATATATATATATTCAAATTCTGATTTGGTTGTGCAGGCATAATGTGGGCAAAATAGAATTTGGCAAGTTTTGTATCATTCAGAGGAGTTTATTTTTGTATAAAATAGTGCTTAAAATTTTAGCTTAATTTCGTTTAAATTTGTAGTGATTTTAAACAATTCTGTGTAAATATGTCGATCAGTTTTCAGTGTTTACATATTGTTTTTCTTACACTAACGTTCGTTATTGTAGTTGTTGAAATTTTATTATTTCACATTTTTATGGAACACATGGTGAGTTGTTTACACATCACACATACACTTCCCC